ACTTTACTGGGTCCACACTTTTTTTTTATATGTATATCAAAAGGGTCGCAAACACAAGATTTATTTAGCATTTTGGGTCATTTTATTACCTGTAGTGCCATACGTCTGGGTATTTAATCAAAATTACTTATTAAAACTAATGTATATTTATTAATATACAATTTAGATATTAGAGGTAAGGAAAAATTATGGTGTTATCATCAGATAAATCTGATGAATCTCATTCGAATGTTTTGATGAAAGGTTCCAGAAAGTGACTTTAGTCCAGTAGATCAGCTTTCTAAAAATGCTTGACGTGAACTCGAATGTTTTTATCTTGTCACATCTTTTCAACGGTATATCCTTCGTTAAGCCAAGTTTCTTCTAGCTAATAAATCTTTTTGATTCTCACGTCGAAACTCTCTCATCCACCTTATTATGTCTCCTTCAGCAAATTTATTAATAGCTTGTATAAGCTTGTGCAAGTCAAGATTCCATTTTCTTGTATTGAATGAGTCAAATTCTCCTGTAAAAAATGTTCACATGTTGAACCTTCAGTCAATTTCATGTTTTTTATTGCAGATCCAACTCGGAACTGCTTGCCCTCAGGGAAAGAGATGAAGCAGAATTGAGCAAATATAAAGCTATTATTAAGAGATTAGAAATAAAACGCAGTGCACTGGAAGTAGCTCTTCAACAAAAAAATGAAGAATGCCAGCAGCTAGCAGCATTATGTGATGAGGTAACTGGGAAAAAAGTGTAAAACTCTGTTCATAATTTGTGTTTAATAAGTCAGATAATTAATAACTGGTGAACTAGAATAAGAATTACTCTTTGCAGATGCTATATTCCTTTCAAATTTCATTTCCATTTGTAATTTGGTTCAAAAGAGGTGTTGAATATAAAATTATCTATTATAATCCACAAATGAAAAATTAAGGTTAAATATAATATCTGTTAAATTCTTTTCATTATCATTTGTTCTGCTTGAACTAGTCAAATATTTAAATTTATTAATGACTGATGTGTATGAAAAAGTTGAGGAGGTTATGGAGATTTGGAAAAATAACTTGAGCTAGTTTCATTTCCCAAAGTTAGTAAGCTTAGGCATCCTGCAACCGTTGTNGGAGGAACGTTTGAAAAAAATTTAGGAGGTTTACAAATAATGCAAAACACATTACTGAAAATTATTTGTAAGAAGGACCGTTTATTTTCCACAAAAAAGCTGTATGAAGAAATCAACTTATTCAACATCAGAAGTCTCTACTCTTACTCTTGTTTAATATGGATATTTCATAACAAAGTAAATTACCAAAGTTCAACTATTGAAAAAGAGACCAGATCTGTTATAAAAAGGTCTATCCATCTACCTTTATTCAAAAAAAGTCATTCACAGAAATCTGTATATTACTTTGGCCCAAAACTTTTCAATTTACTACCACCCGAGTCCAGGAATATTATAGACATAAAGAAATACAAAATTGCTATAAAATCATTTCTACGCTACAATCAACTTATTATTGAAAAATTATATTGAACACATATACTTGAAAGCTCCATTCTCCAGAAATATCAAATGTATATAAAATGTCTGACAGAATAAAAATCTCCTTTTAAAAAAAGGGATACCTATCACAACACAAGCGCATTTGCGCTTAGGTGAAAGGTCCCAATATATGAAAGGGGATAAGAAATATTTATATATTATTATTAATTTTGTATTATTATTAATTTGTAATTATTATTTGTAATTATTATTTGTAATCTGTATACGTTGTGAATAAAGTTATCAAGTTAATATGATTCCAACATGTTTAGACATACTGTACATAAATATTTTTATAGTACATTTGTAGTTCATTAATATTTATATATAGGATACTTCTTCTAGATTATCCCAGCTTTGTATTCCCATGAATGGTGACTTTAGAATAATGTAAGAAAATATTTTATATGAGGCATGTAAAGTTTGGAAGAAAGTTAAAAATAGACTTAGGTCACATATGGCGATAGTACTGATACTTGTTAGATATGGTAGCATCAACCTTTCCCTGTAATTAAGGTTCACTTACAGTTTATAACACAACAATTAAATGTAAATATAACTTAAATATTTAAACCACAATAAATGCTGTTACAAAACTTAAGAATATGTTTCATGTGTTCATGCAACCTTATAGAATTGTTGAGTTTTTGGTATACTTCAATGGTGATTATAGAAAAATTGATAGAAAGACCATTTGTAAAGTGAAATTTACTATCCTCAATAATCCAATTATTGAAATAATCTCTTATAAAATATCAAATGTAAAATAATCGGGATTTCAGTCCAAGTTGATTTGATTCGAACTGATTGCTTATGGGTTGTAAGTTGTAACTGGATAGTCAATTATCCCAGTGTTCGGTGTTGCTTTCTACCTGTATTCTGGGTTTCAAGTAAATAATCGGCTAGGTTATTCGGATAATCAGTATTGCTCTATTATTAATGTATGGGAAATAGATGGAATTACTCTGTAAAAAAGTAACATATCTAGAGATATGCTCTTCAAAAAGAGTCTGCCTTCATATAAAATAACGTACTTATATTAGAGCAAGCGGCCTTGAAACCATATTGTTTGCTGCGTTATGTTGATAACACATTTGTGGTATGACATTATTATATCTAAACTCTCGACCCAAAAATCCAATTCACAATGGAACAAAAACCAAAAGGACTCTAGCCTTTTTTGATGTTCTTGTGAACAGACGTGTACAGGTAACCAACAAGTCCAACTAGGCTAGTCAAAATCACTATCCAAGATTATATAGAAAGACAATAGAAAATAAAAAAACAGGGATTATTTCAACAGAAAAGAAGAGGCAATGAATAAATAAAATCCGGCTACATGTTCTTAAGGTCAGGTAATCCAATAATAACAAATTGGGAACAATTTGAGCACGACCATTACCTCATCGCTTTTGATAGTGTCTACCGCAGTAGTAAACGAAACGTCAGGCATAAAAACCTGGAAACCACTGACAAAATTAAAAGTTATCATCATAAAACTCTTGCAAACTATAATAGTCTATCAAGAAGAAAATTGTTAGCTGCTTTCCTGAACTCTTTTCAGTTTATTACACACTTCAAATAATTTGGTACATCATCCATGATAATAATTTCAATTTTTATACTATATATTTTATACGAGATGCGTTTCACTACATAGTAGTTTCATCGGTTGAACTGATACAGTATTCTCTTCTACAATTTTGATTCATGAAAAGATGAAACTACTGTGTAGTGAAACGCATCTTGAATAAAATGTATAATGTGAAAATGGTATAATCATTATATTATTATTAATTTTCATCAAGTTACAAGTCATTGTATTCATAAAATGATAACTGGTTGTATATCTTAAGATACCTCAAAAATAAAAATAGCATAAAATACTGAAATTTTATGTGCAATGAAGGCCTGCAAGAATCACGCCTGACCACGAAGAAACTATAATTCCCCCTTCTGAAGAACAAAAACGGACTGTAAACGGGTTTGAACACAAACACCCCAGAACAGGATATCATATATCTCAACATCGTGAGATATATAATATCCTGATCTGATTTCCTTATATTGAATAATGAATTCAGAAAAATTATTGGTCCAAATGTTTGGAGATAGATTTTTTTGCCTACTCAATGAGTAATAATTTCAACCTTTCTAGGAGCAAACTCATGAAATCCAACAAGTAATAAAAAGTTTTTATTTTATATTATTATAAATCTGGTAGTTTTTACTAAAAACTACCTATCCTGTCGAATTATCAAAGACATTCGGATTATCTATCTATCTATCTGTAGTAAATGTTGCGGTACTAATCGAGCAAATATTTTTTGAATTATCATCCGATTATTGTAATACTCCAATGCCGAATAATTGATTAATATGCGTACCTTGAAGTTTTATTTCTAGTCTTGTCTTCCTTAATTGTTGCACTGGAGAATTGAGAGTATTGTCAAAAATTGGGATGATTTATATTTCACTTCAAGTCCGATCATTTTATCTTTTGGGTTTATGTTCTCATTAAAAATTATTCACTAATGTGATATCCCGAATAGTGTGTATTATATTCAGTTAATCAAATAGTTAGCTTGTTCGAGCGTGTCTATATGACTGAGAATTCTGTGTTCAGTATATCATCATGAAAATTCGAGATTGAATTCGTGGTGACAGTTCACGAAGAAAATAAATCATTTGAATGTGAAGGAGTTTATTGATCTCACCATTTTGAAGGACTGACCATTCAGTGTCCAGTATATCATTTCTCTGAAAACAATTTTCACGCGGTCGTAATTGAGGACAATTTACAGTTTAGGAAGCGAACTATTCTATTCGAGTTGTGGGGAACTATTCTATTCGAGTGGTGGCGTTCATTTTTCTATGACAAAGATATTTTCCTGAAAATTAGCTATTCAATATATCATTCTTTTGATAAATTTTTCACCTGTTGTAATCCATCAGTTAGGTTGTTTTGTGATCTATATCTATCGCTTTTACGTCACCTAGTCATTTAATACAGATTATAAAAGCTTCACGAGGTATAATAATATTTTGAAGTCGATATGTGAGACGCTTTTACGTCACCTAGTCATTTAATACAGATTATAAAAGCTTCACGAGGTATAATAATATTTTGAAGTCGATATGTGAGACGAGGGTTGACGTGGGTGGGTTTGCCACACTCACTCAATCAACCGCTGTGTGAACCGGTGGTTCGAACCGCAAGGCCGGACGATCGATTTTCACTTCATATCATCCAATCCGTGTTATGAACCACACGTTAAAAAATAAGTTAGTCCTTCGCTCGCACAAGTTTCGAGTTTTGAGAGTTGTCGTTCGTAGGGGGGCGCGACAAATGGTTAACGGAAAAACAGATTTCTGTCATGAAATGAACAAATCGTGTAAAATATCAGTTGCCAAATTAGCGATCTTTATTAAACAACAATCCATTAGTTGTGTGGTGTAAATCGGGTTCGAGAGTGGGGGTGGCGCTGGCGTCCGACGCTTACTTCACGCAAGTCTTGAAACCAACAATTCGATAAACATGATTTGACCTCAGTATACTTATATACAGTAATCCCTCTTCGGGTGATTTTTGGTTTGAATTTTCTACACGCAGACCCAGGAGTTGCAGTCTTAGGTCTGAGCAAACGACGAGTTCAAGACAGGCACGCAACCCTTCCATAGTTGTCGCATTTCGTGGGTGTCACCCAATACTGTGGTATATTATTTTACAACTCGTGAAAAAATGTTGAAGGTGGTCTCTTATTCCATCAAATTCTGATTGCAGGAATATTACTGGATGAGGCGTCGGTTCTTAAAAATATTCCATGTATTTTATTCGAAAGTGATCATTTTGTCAAATATACAATAGCATGTCGGATTACGATAATTGTCACATTGGCAACAGTGCAAAATGCAACGTACCCTGTATCGTACCTTTTCGTTTCCTTTATACTTTTGTCACAGATTAAAGATCGAATATCAAAGGCGGCATCAAAGCTTTCGCATTTGTATTTAATCTGTGCTTTTGTCACACCCGAATATGAACATCTGCAGATCCCATGAATTTTTAAAATCTACTGGAAACATAGTTCATCATTGTCCAAATGATCTGGGTTACTTGAATATTACACAAATGCAAAATTATCATTTGTACAATTTTCTCAGGTGCCCAACATGGTTTTCATCGACTGTATTTTTTTGAGCAGTTTATATGAATAGTTGAGTTATTATGATGAGCAGTGTTTAGGACGCTTTGGTTGAGATTGTAGTAGGGAGAAATGTCATTAGTGTCAAATACGTCAGCATTGTAATAACTGAAACTCCTGGACACCAACATCAAAGGGACCGACGCTAAGTGGGACTACTGTATATAAGTATACTGTGATTTGGCAATTAACCACAAACCAACCTATACAGACACAACTATCAACAATCATTCTAATCACCCTCATCAACATAAAATAGTAGCTCACCACAGCACGATCCACAGAAACATTAGTATCCCTATGACAACAGAGAATTTTGATAAAGAAGTGAATTTGATGAAACAAATGTTAATCAAACAAGCTGTTAAATAAGTAGTATACTCTCACATCAAAGACAATATCACAGAATACTAAGCAATAACTCTTTGAAAACACCGAGTTGTATATAAGAAAACTACTAACTGATCAGAACATCAACATTTTCTGATTGATTCGGCAGGGATGTAACGGAGGTAGTTTTATCGGAACAGAAGGCGGAGTCGGAGTTTTTAAATTTGCTTTATCGGAGTCGGAATCGGAGGAAGGATCAGAAAGTGATGGCATGAGAAAGAATTTTTATTTAAGGACAAATAAAACATTATTTAGTCNGAGTCACACATTAATCTGGGCCTTCTGGCTTATCAGTGTATGGTGTAGGAATATGTGATGGTGTGTTGTAGAAGTCTATTACTATAAGGATTGTTGCAGCAACTTCAAAATTTGTTTTATGGACTCTAGATTATTTGAATTTATGTATTAGAAGTTGACAACATTCCTTCTAACCTTTTAATTGGTTCAAATCAATGATTAATTTGTCGCTAGTATCAGACTTAGTTCATGATTCTACGAAAAGAACTTGGAATTGTATTTTTGATTTCATAAATGTGATTTGGAGTATTATACAACCCTCAAGAAAAATAATGCATGAATCCCGAAAGAGACACCATTCTCCATCTATCTCATCACGATTTTATACACGTGATAATACTTTTGGCCAACATAGTAAATATAATTCTATTGAAAAAGATAATGGAAAAAGGAGGAAGGTTGATTACTTTGGCAGTTCCACGTACAGAAGATCTATGACTAGTCGAAGGGCTCACCGATCATATCAGTATGAACGAAGATCAAGTGAAGAAAGATATAATCGGAGCTCCAGAAAGTCATATGTGTCTAAGAAGAACAAACAACTCCACACTGAACGAGAATCTTTACGTAGAAGAAAGTATTATCAGAGATCCGGTTCGTATAATCAGCAGAGATCCAGGACTCCAGTTCCGACTTAACGGAACCGGAGTCGAAGCTCCGTAACATCCCTAGATTCGGCCGTTACTTGATGATGATCCATAGTAATTTCACAAACTACACCTAAAAGATTTGATCTCCACAAAATTTATTGAAAAGATATATCACATGTTTCGCTAAACATTAGCTTTTTCAAGTGATTAATCACTTGAAACATAGCAAACAAAACTAATATTTCATCTTAGACAGACATATAGAAAACAACAAATCCAACATCGATAAGGATAACAAATTGGGTGTCTACGAGTTAAAATGTTGCAAGTGTCCATAAGTTTATATTAAAAAAACATCTGAAATTTCAAAATCAGAATCTCTCAACACAAAAGGATTTTTGAATTCAAGAAAACCAGTTCAACTTATGCATGCCATCATTTGGAAATCAACCCTAACTTTGACATAAACTACAACGTACTATACACAGGAAATAAATAACAAAAATTAAACCTACTGGAATTTCTTAAATTTAATAAGTGTAAACAATCGAATTTCCTATTGAAACACCAACAAAAGTTAATCTCTCACCACTGTTAAATTCCATTCCAGAATTAGTCGAATCATTACCTGCTCTGTACCTGCTGGCTTCTTTTTCTTAAAACAATCGATTTATGCCAATTAGTAAGCTCTATTAATTGATCACGTATAGTCAGTGGGCATACTTGAAGACTGGCTATAAATCAAATCATCTAAAAGAACAATTCGTTCAGGCCAGCCTCAACACCCTACACAGTAGGTTAATGGACTGACACCTATCAGAAAACAACTACTCCCCTGGCTAATACCACGAAGGGCGTTGGATTATATCCGACANTACTCGTCATTACAGGGCACCTGAAGTCATTTTGGAATTGGGATGGTCACAACCCTGTGATGTGTGGTCAATAGGTTGTATCTTCTTTGAGTTGCATTTAGGAATAGCCCTCTTTCAAACTCATGATAACAGGGAACATCTGGCGATGATGCAAAGAATACTTGGAGAATTTCCTGCGAACATGATTAGAAAAACTGAAACAAAATATTTTTACAAAGGAAAGCTTGATTGGGATGAAAAAAGTTCACTTAGTAGATATAGATATATCAGAGATAATTGCAAACCGCTTATAAGATATAAGCACTTTGACGATTCAGATCATAACTCTTTATTTGATATCATTTTCAATATGTTAGAGTATGATCCTTCAGAAAGAATAACTTTAAAGAAAGCTTTAGAACATCCGTTTTTTGAAAAAATCAGAATTGCCAAAGCTCTGTAATAAGGGAAACATGATTCAGTTTGAGTACAAACAGAAAATTCATGTTTCCACGCGTGTTTCATGTGTATAATATTTTGAGACTACTTGAAAATAATTTTTAGTTTTCTAGGTGACTGGAGCTTTAAAATTTAATTCCTTTGGACCTGCAGTATGTTCATGTGTCATACTTCAGTTTAAAATTTTATTGTGTACTGATCTATTGATGTACCAATTTGAAAATTGTCACCAGGTGAAGGGTGAATTTCTAAATCTTAATTTGAACATCGAGGTTACTATTTAGAATTGAAATCTCTTATGTAGAGTAAATGCAATAAAATTATGTTTCTTGCACACTAAAATGTGGAAATGCCATTCATGACATAGTTTAATTGTGTTTTAGTAGCTTTTACTAATCAAACGATACATCAAAGTATAAGTACAAAATTCACACAGAAATGATTTTAGATATTTTTTACGACTGTTCATACTGTTACTTATTTTATTAGGGTTAGGAGATGTTTTGCAAAATCGATATGAAATACTTGGAACTCTTGGTGTGGGTACATTTGGTAAAGTCGCTAAAATTAAAGATTTGGAAATTGATCATCACATGGCTTTGAAAATAATAAAAAATGTTGAAAAATATCGAGAAGCTGCTAAACTGGAAATTAATGTCTTGGAAAAATTGTCTGACAAAGATCCTGATTCTGAATATCTTTGTGTTAAGATGCTGGATTGGTTTGAATATAAAGGACACATGTGCATTGCATTTGAGATGTTGGGGTTGAGTGTTTTTGAGTTTCTGAAAGACAATAACTATCATCCATATCCCCTTGAACAAGTTCGTCACATAGGGTATCAGTTGTGTTACGCTGTAAAATTTTTACACAATAACGGATTAACACATACTGATTTGAAACCTGAAAATATTTTATTTGTTGAATCAGTTTATGATATGGTATATAGTACTGAAATACAAAAGTATGTTAAGAGAATTAGAAGAACTGATATTAAGCTAATTGATTTTGGTAGTGCAACTTTTGATCATGAACACCACAGCACAATAGTATGTACTCGTCATTACAGGGCACCTGAAGTCATTTTGGAATTGGGATGGTCACAACCCTGTGATGTGTGGTCAATAGGTTGTATCTTCTTTGAGTTGCATTTAGGAATAGCCCTCTTTCAAACTCATGATAACAGGGAACATCTGGCGATGATGCAAAGAATACTTGGAGAATTTCCTGCGAACATGATTAGAAAAACTGAAACAAAATATTTTTACAAAGGAAAGCTTGATTGGGATGAAAAAAGTTCACTTAGTAGATATAGATATATCAGAGATAATTGCAAACCGCTTATAAGATATAAGCACTTTGACGATTCAGATCATAACTCTTTATTTGATATGATNGCTTCAATTTATTTGGAAAAAGCCTTCCACTCTGCTTGCATAAGATTATACAACTTGGCAAATATTTTGACTGCTTCATTGTTTCGGTTTGGTTTACTCGAGGTATGAAGTCGGTATAGCTCTTTGTTACGAATATTGTAATTGTGAATTTCGGTGCCAGTAATATCATTATTTTTGTTTTCATGCACTTCTAAAATTGCTTCTAATATGTATATATGGAAGTGTTGATATGTTAATTTCAGTGAATACCTAATGATTTTGCATGCTCGTTCGGACCTGCCTTGGCCATATTTGATTTTTTTTTGGCTTATGAGTATCTGCTGGCACACTGAGCTTGTGCTCAAAGTAAAATTACCTACATTAAATGACAGTAAACCATGCGATAGTATGGTCTACATTTCTTCAAAGAGTTTATATTAATATTTTCTTCGGAAGTTTACCATTCTTTATATTGCATTTGAGAACTTTAAACGCAAAACGAATTTGTAATATCATATTACAGTAGGGCCATACAAAAGGGCGGATTTAGGAAAATTATACTCGATTATATCAATTAAAATATCTAGATGGAGTGTAGAACGGCGAGGCCAGCTAATTGTTCCTTATTCATGTTTTATTTAAGCCATGTTTTTCAATGCTTCGAAGATGATGAAAACCTTTCTGGATACAATAAAGCATAAAATCAATAAGTTTTGTAAAGTTTAACATATGAATAAAACATTGGAAGGCATCGTTCGAACATATCGAGTTTAGTCAAATCCAGAACATTTTTAGTTTCACGTTTATTTTAGTCTTCAAGTTAAAGGTATTTTTTTATGATATGCAAGATTCTTAATATATAAAATTATTTCAAAGGTAATTTCCTCTTCAATTTTTGAGTAATCATTTTTGTAAATATAATGAGCAAAACTATATTTGGAATATTGGAAAATTTCTATCAACTCATTTTATTATCGAATTTAAAATAGGTATAGGTATAGGGTCACCAGTCCAGTAAATGAACGAATAACGATAGTTGTCACTTTCTACAACCATAACTTATTTTTCTCGTTAAGATTCATTTCTGTGTTATTAGTTTTATGATAACTTCACTGTGTTTATAATCGATTTATATCATGAAAATGTGCAATTTGTTATAATTTTTTGTATCAAAATCCTTTGAAGATCAAAAACTACCAAACACCCAATGAATGAACACCATAGCCTAATAAATGAACATCAAACGCCCAGTTAATGAACAAATGCTTTATCATTGAAACACAATCATTATTTTGTTCAATGCAACGTTATTTGATTTTATAACTCAAATATTACGGTATTAGAGGGGTGGCATTGAAGTTATTCAGTTCATATTTAGAAAATAGAAAACAATGTGTTACTGTTAACCAAAGAAACTCGGACTTTCTACCTATAAAACATGGTGTCCCACAGGGGTCAGTGCTTGGGCCATTCTTATTTGTAATTTATATAAATGACCTATGCAACTTCCTATTACCCAATAAAAGTGTTCTATTCGCCGACGATACTACTTTGATGAGTACCGGTAAAAACCTTATGGAACTCTTCTTATAACATTGAAAAACGTGCTGAAAATTGGTTTACTGCAAACAAACTCAAGTTGAACGCAAGCAAATCCCAAAAAATAACCTTCTCCTTTAATATGAACTTACAAATGGGAAATACTGTCAAGCTACTCGGAATTGTTATAGATGACAAACTCACATGGTCGAATCACATAGAACAGCTCTGTAACAAATTAGCAATGTTTTATTGTATAATTTTATTCATTGTGTACTTTATATTGTATCTATTAATATATTGACATGCCATACATGTATTTATATATGTAATGTGGTGAAAATATATCTATCTAACATAATTTCAATTCAATAATAAGTTCAAAAACATAATATTTAGTGATATCAAATTCAATTGATGTCAACATAGAAAATCCCATGTGTGTTATAAGGAACTGAAGCAAAAGTTTTCTTCTTGATTTCGTTTGTTTTGTACTAGATTTGGTCGATTGGTTTGAGCCATTTCCATCGTTCTTTAGTAGTTTGTTCCATTACACTGATTTCGTACTCATCACCATGACAATTCTTCATCAAGCCAGGGTATTGTCTCAATTCATATTCAACTACCACATAGTCCCCAACATTAAAAATATCAGCTGAGGACTCAGATATGTTGTCTTGTTCTATATTCTCAACCAGCTGTTCTCCTTTGTCTTTTTCAATATTCCTGCCATGTTTCGATTTCTGGTGCTCTTCACCGTATTTTTCTTTTTGGACTTTCTTTTCTTTTTCCATAGTCTGTTGCTCTTCGCTGTTTTCGTCTTTTTTCGCTTTCTTGTCTTGTTTCAGCCTGCTGCTCGTTGTCCTATTTTTCCTTTTCATTATTTGTGTTTCCTTTAATAGTCTCCTGCTCTTCGCTGTTTTCTTTCTTTTTCGGCTTTCTTGTCTTCATTCGATCTCTTAGTCTGCTCCTCTTCATCGTATTTTTTTTTTTTCGAGTTTCCTGACCTCTCTCATTGCCTTCTGCCCTTCGCTGTTTTCTACTTTTTCGGCTTTATTCTCTTGTTTCGTTTTCTTAATTAGTTGATCTTTCGGAATTCTTTTACAAGGAAACATAACCATTGGCGGTGCTACTATCCCTGCTGCTGAATAATTGCAGAGAACGGTAATTGATTCTTTCTCACTGCCGGAAGAAACTTCGTACAGGTTTTTATATCCTTAGGTGCTAAAACTGGACCTGGTTTCATGCACGTTCTGATGACTGTTTCATCTGCATTAAAAACCCTCGAAGGATCTTTGATCATATCTAAGATGCTTTTATTTTGCAGGAAAGCTTGAAGATCAGAAAACCATGCTCAAATAGATTCGTCTGTTACAGATGCCCGGGATTTCGAAATAATTTCAGTATTTTTTCTTGCAATTTGAGGATGTCTTCCCAAAAATAATTTTAGCCACTTGTCGCCCGGTCTGCTATCTGTGAAAGGGTTGGCTCGACCAATATCCTGTAATATTTTTTTACTGCATTTTTGACATCGTTTGGATGCATTGGAAAACCCAATTTTGCTTTTAATGAAATCCAATCTTCTACTCGTTTTTCTTCGACTGAAGTTAAAATGGGAGATGGGTCCATTTTTCCTATATTTGGAACCGTATCCGTTAGTTTGTTGTGAAGAGTAGATTTGTTTATTCCATATTTCTCAGAAGCCTCATTCAAATATTCCCGCTTTTAATGTCTGTGATAGCGTTGGTCAATATTTTCTCCGAATATCGAAATCATTGGTATTTTTTTTATCCATCTGAAATGAAAAGTTCTTATGATTTCTTGAGCAATACAAAAAACATGTTTCTCCTAAAGAATGAACACCAGTTAATGAACTAAGGAAAAGTTGCTGTTCGTTTGCTGACACTCTAACCCAGTAAATGAACATTACAAAATGTCCCGTTCACTTACTGGTTTGAGGTTGATTTGATAAAAACCTTTCGGGAATTATTAAAGTACTTTTTTACATTATCATTAGGTTAATTTTCGCTTATTTTCATATTACTACGTAAATCTCCAGTAAATGAACGGCTGTTCATTTACTGGATATATTCGTTTTTTTGAAACTAGTAAATGAACACCAAAATTTAACGGTAGGCACATGACTTTTCGAAAGAGCAACATAATCTTTTGATTGTTGGTTACCCTGTTCAGATTTTAGATTTGACTGTGCAGTAAATGAGTGTCTGTTCATTTACTGGATATATTCGTTATTTTGAAACTAGTCAATGAACACCAAAATTTAACGGTAGGCACATGACTTTTCGAAAGAGCAACATAATCTTTTGATTGTTGGTTACCCTGTTCAGATTTTAGATTTGATAATCTGTAGTGGTTGTGGTCATTAAATACAACTTTTTAATGTTATGTTTTGTACTTACCTTAACAAAAACGGAGCACACTTGGTTCTACCTGACTGGTACTCTGGTACCGATCTATCGATGTTATAATATGAATACACTGTTTGAGGTTATGATTTTTCCAGTGTATGAACGGAATGACCGTTGCCATATTTACAAACGTTTTCTTCGGCTTCTAATAATTGAAATAAGTTATTTCAAATAACCTTTATATAGATAAAATCAGTTGAATTGTTATTGGGTGGTGTTCATTCTCTGGCTCGTTGACCCTATGTATAGTTACATAAATGTTCAATTTATTGTAAACTAGCGAACTGCCACGGCTCCGCACGGGTGCAATACTAATACTAAATATACATATAAACGCGATACTAATCAAAGTTTCTCAACTTCTGAGAGTTGTCGTTCGTATGGGGTCAACAGCTGATTAACGGAAACACTGATTTTTAAACTGATAAAATATGTAAATGCTTTGAGACATTGAGAATGATGATGCAAAATATGGAGAATTTTCAAATTTCGCAGGATTTCAGTGGGCTGGGTATAAGGCTGTCCCTCGGGCTAAGTTTTGCAAAATATATGCGCCCCATGAAGGTCTACCCCTGTAGCAGAAATCAAATATCTGCTTTCAAAAATGATAAAAATAAATGGGTGTCTTCATCTCAAGTGTGCCACACTGTATAAACTAAATAGATCGTTTCAAACGAATGAGTACCTATGACGTTTGAGATCAATTTTGGAATGTAGGTTAATAATTAAGGTTCAGTTGTGAATGAAAATAATTTTGAAACAATTATAAGGCAATGAATTTGCTCGTCTGCGATTGACCTCGAATGTATAGAGAAATATATCTGATTAACTATATTTGCTTCAAAGGTGTTGAGTAATTTATTTATGTTGTTCTTTCAATAATCCTAGAAAATAATTATTTGATTATTCTTCAGCTTGTAACGTTATTAAACATCTAATCACAAAAATGCATACTTTTCATTTTACTGAATTCATACTTTAAAAGCGGAGTGTATTAATTTTTTTTCCTCAAGAAAAATTGTGATGCTTTTACTATGATTCCAATAATAAGAACAAATATTTTATTTCCCACCGTAACGACATTGAAGTAACTCTTTTGACATATGATAGACCAGAGACAGACCAGTGTCTCTGGATAGACACAGAACCTCATCATAGCATATATTGTTACATTACACTCCCAACAGAACAATGGGTGGAACCGAGAACCGATACCGATACCGTTGACAGGCGAGCTGGGCGTAAACCCATGGAGCCGAGGGCCGTAACCAGTGGAAGAAATAAGTAAACAAAACAAAAACATAACCCTATTTTTTGTAAGAGCATTATATTTGAGTCAAATAAATCCCGTATCTCCATTGATCAAACTTTTCGTCGAAAAATTAATAAAACAAATTTTTGAACGATGTGAAGAAAACGAATTTAATTCAGATCATACAATTGTCAGTAGCTGAGAGGTTAGAATTCATTTCATATGACTAATTCCTGACTAGTTTGATAATCTGAACAACTGAAAGACTGATACAGAAATTTCTTAAAAATGCTGGTTGTATTGATTTTCTGGGGGATCACAAACGTTTTGGGGGTTGAGGATACTCTACTTGGTTGTTACAAAGATTCTCCTGTAGTAATTATTGAACAGTACCGCACAAAACCAGAGTGTATCAAAGATTGTTACCACAAATATTATAGGTGAGTTGTGTGAAAAAGAAGATATCTTGTTATTTGATAATTTTGTAGGTACTCCAGTATTCTTAATGAAGGAAATTGTATGTGTGGTAATTATTTAGGAGAACAAGTTTCAAATGGAACGTGTAGTAGTTGTGAAACATGTGATTTTAAGTTGAACTTGACTGATACTTATTCTACAGGAAATTTAGGTGAGTACCTACATTGAATTATGTACTACATAATGGGCCATCAATGATCTCTTATGAACATAATGGGCCATCAATGATGGCCCATTATGTTCATAAGAGATTGAGGGATGCCTTTAATAGGTTGGCGGCAATCTTTGATAATCAATAGAAACTTTTATTGTCAAGTGCCAACAAAACCACCCTGATATTTTGTCATAGTGCCAGCGACAGAAATAAATGAACAGCCGATAGGCCTATATATTAGTGTATCAGTCAGTCATCGATATCAGCTTATTATAGGTATCAGCTGATTATCAGTATCAGCTGAAATTTTTATAACGGTCGATTTCTACATGATATGTAGTCTGACCACTGTGAGATCAGTACATAAATGAGCAGTAGCTTAACAAACAATATTTAAACCACTATTTCGCAGCTGTTAAAGTCAACTATTTAATGACCAGTATAAAATCTCAAAATACATTCTCCAATAAATGTTTTTCAGAAAAGGTGAACACTCACATGCATGTTCTTGTTCAAATCTGATTTTTCTCTATTTCAGTGCCTGGTCCTCCAAGAAATTTTCGAATAACCAATATAACGGATCACAGTGTAAGAATATCATGGCAAGAACCTGAATCTTTTGTAGACATTTTTAAATATCAAATCAAAGCCATTGTGATACACACCTATTCAAGCTATTCTCCCGTCAGTCCTGAGTGGATGTACTCGAATAATACATTTCAAACTGAACTTATCACTTTGTTACCTGCTACAAGGTATAATATTACTTTGTCTACAAAATCGCCAGATGGGGACGGAGCATTGGTTTTTAGAATTATCGAGACAAGAATTGGTGGTAAGTTTCAAAATGAATATAAGAACATAGGCTTTCCTGCCCGGAGTCACGATTAGAGAGATCAAAATCTGGGCTGCTAGTCTGTAGTTGAATGGAACTTTTGGTACCAAAGTTTCAACTGCTTTTGCATCAGTGGTGTGTGTCTGACTGTAAGGATGAAAGGAGTACCTTGAAATGTCACCAATAATCGACTGTGGAGATAGACCCTGTATTTCTTTTTGTGTTTTCTTTCACTTATGTTGAATTAGATGAAGTAGAAATAGTAAAATATCCATTATTCGAGGACTAAAATATGTTTACAATTGTTTCTTTAATGGAAGTTTAAGCCTATCAGGATATTTAGAATTCTTCAAAAAACATATCCATATCCATATAAGAAAGGAAAAATACAAATATGAATCATAACTATAAACTTATACAAATATAAATTTAGTTGCAGACAAGCAAACGACTAATTTCAGTCTTAATGTCATATGGCAAACAACCAAAAATATCTACATGTTAAAACAACAGTGAATGTAGATTTTTAGGACTTACATTAAACCACTGTTTGAGCTGGAAAGGACATTGTAACTAACTTACTTAACAATTATCTATTACATAGTTGATGGGATATCTCAAAATAATTTATAATGGTGAACAAAAAAGATTCTCCGAATCTTGGCTGGAGTTGAACCAAAAGCATCATGTAGAGACCTATTCAAGTAATACAAAATATTAACTCTTGTGTATATATTCGTATTTGAAATGTGCGTTTATATTTATACTAATCAATCAAAGTTTGGACGACATGGCTCCTATCATAGTATTGACCCAGGAAATCGTAATAACTTTTACATTAAACCCTATAAATACAACCTAACTGCCAAGTCCCCTTTTTATTTGGGATTGAAAGTCACCTCTTTCTCTTAGAGAGATTGATAGAATCCATGTTTTCAAACGTAATTTGAAAATGTTTTTACTGAATCACAGTTTCTATACCGTGCAAGAATTTCTTAATGTGACTGTATGATTCTTTTTGTATTCACATACCTGACTATTCCAATACATGTTCATGTCTGATGGAAATTAAATATTATTTTTATTAGTTGCAAGAATTTCCTTCCTTTCTCTTCAAAATCAAAACAATAATTGAACACAAAACCTCAACATTTCAGTTCATTTCTCAATTGAATTCTTTTTTAGGTGAGATTACACTGAGGGGGGAAAACTATTGAATTCTCAGATATTTAAATGGTACTTATGATGCACTGTTTGGAACCTTTGGTGTAGTAATATTCATTATTTAAATGGTTGTGAAATTTTATCTCCAATTTTTATTATTGTTTCTTTAAATCCACAAAAGGTGAATACTTTCTACCCAGAACAGCCTTCTCCAGCGTGAAATCCGCTTCGTTCTTGTATATATCTGGAATATTTATTTCAATTATTTCCTTCAAAACTCTACAGAACAATCTCACTCAGGAACTGAACAAATTTTAAACAATTTTCAATTTTGAATTGAAAGGGAGTATATTTCAGGAAAAATTAGTATTCTATATTTGATGTTCTATTGAGGTAAACATTATTTATGTGATAGTCATCAATAACTGGATGTGTTATTCTGACGTTTGGCAGTAATATTCAGCTACATTAAGGTCCATGTAATCGATTACACACCAATTATAGATTTAGTTGAATATTTCTGAAAAATTGAAACATCATGTGTGCAGGCAATGGAGGCAAATACAAGAAACCTTCTATTCATTATATACCATAAACGTTGGGCGTAGTATTTACATATTTTCTCAGGTTACGCTACGGAGTATTTACATATTTAGTCAGGTCACTCAACGCCCAACGATCTTATTATTTTTTCGTGAATCTGTACACCTGTGTTCACACTTGTCATGCAATTGTCAAATCGTGCGCTTTACCCAAACTTTTCGCAATGTAGTCAAAAAAACAGCCTCAAGTGGACACCAGATTACTCAAAGGCCTTTGACAAAATAGTCACGAAATTTTTTCAACAAAATTAAACCATCTTGCATTCCCTTGAATCATGCTACTAGTGGAAAGTAATTTAGCATCACTTCTCTTCTCACTCTATGTCAGTGGCATAGTGACTAGTTCAAAAGGAGGCATTCTTATTTTGTCTGATGATTTGAAACAATTCAGGAGTGTAGCATTTTCAAATAATTGTGAGGTTCTTCAGAACTAACCGCTTGGTACACCACAAATAAATTTCCCAGCAAACATGAGCGTCATTATTGTAGCAAGAACGGTTGAATGTATTGTATACAACTAAAAATGTTATTACATATTTCGACTCAAAATTAGGCTTTTCAACTAATGTAATTCAAACCGCATTGGCAGCTAAAAATGTTATATTTTCACTCAAAATTAGGCTTTTCAACTCATGTTGAATTTTAGCTACCGCATCGGCAGCTAAAATTGATGTTCAGAAACTGGAAATATTTCAGTAATAAGGAAAGTCACTTTAACTCATATGTAGGATCAAAAAAAGAGTAAGACTCCTTGATCTGGTCCCCAATGTATGCCCCTCACATACACTTGCCTGAATCTGTTCAGCAAAAATTCTTGAAATATTTTTATGGAGTTTATCTAGATTAGGGCATTGAAAATGATCTCTTGTTAAATATATTTTCATTCTTATAATTACAAAAAATGTAGCACATATCAGCCGTGTATATTTATTTATCTATGAACTCAATAATCACATCATTTTCCCAGAGTTATATTGAATTTATATGTATCATGTTTAAACAGAAATAAGCTATGTCTCTATTTGTCTATGGCAAAAGAACCAATATTTCAAGTAAATCTGCAATTAATTTCTCTTGCAATAAATTCAGACAATTGTGTTGAAATTCACTTCTTTTCAGCACCCATTAGTCTGTTTAAAAAATATAATATTTCTTATACTTAACATTCTTCATTTTCATTCATTCATAGAGTTACTTCCTTCCTTTCTTTGGAAGACTCCCTCATCCTTCTTTTTTGTATCAAGATGGAGTAGTAGAAAGCCAAAAACTTTATTTCCCAAAAATTAATCACTCCTAAAAAATATAACCCCTTCAATTCAAATAAATACTATTTTTAGAGCCTGACAGTTTGCCATCAAAACCAAAGATATTAGAGAGTAAGGGAACTGAAATAAGTTTGCAGTTGATGCCAACTCAAAACAATAATGGTCCAGTGTCTGCATACAGAATTATAGTGATAAATGATGATGCCAAACAAAGTTTCGAAGAACAGAGTCTCTATTCATATCATGAAGCTAATAAAAATGGTTTGGCTTATTACATAGCAGCTGAAATCAACCCAAAGGTATTTACTAATTTGGTCTATTTAGTATCTGATTGTTACATATTTATGAAACAGACACATGCATATGTGCACTGAACTCAATTTTTTATATTTATTTTCAATTAATTTAGACAACACCATTTGTATATAGTTTCTAGTGTCTTATTGATTACCTTGACCACATATTCATAGTTTGAATCTGAAAATATATTCAATCACTATTTCAGATGTATTGAATTTGTTGTATCCTAATAATTTTTCAATTTTTTATTGTTATAATTCAGTTTTCACCTTGATCGTTTTTTTGGAAATGTGCTTTATTAATATAGGCGTTGACGTTTGAGTGGAAGACCAATTGTTTTTGGTTAAGTCTGGAAACAACTGAACTTTGCCTCTTATTATCGCTAAGTTTTGTTTTATGACATATAATTTGTAAAGTGTGTCATCAGGAAACAAAAGAATTGAATATCTTCCAGTATTCACTATTATATTAATATAACAGGAGTATCACAAGTCCAAGAACACTTCCTTGTGGTACATCTTGGATCATTTCTTATTTCTCTTGATATTTTGTTTAATTTCAGTCTATGTCTTCCATTGTCAAGGTAATTAATCAGCTACATTAATCAGAATAGTTTCTATGTATCAGAATGTATTCTAATTGTTCTTAATATTTAGTTTGAGATTATGAGGGCAATAAGAAACAATGAATTCAATTAGAAATCAGTTGTTAACTTAGAACAAGTGATGCACTGTTTGGAACCTTTGGTGGAGCTTTTTCCCAACACTAAACCATTATTTTAACACCTCGACACGTGTTTCGATCACCAAGTCGAAGTGTTAAAATAACGGTTTGGTGTTAGGAAAAAACTCCAGTAATATTCTTAACTCAGAACATGTTGAATATAAATATATAATATTTTCAGTATTGAGTGTCTATCAGAAGTATATTGCTTATATTAGGTTACTTTTTTGATAATAAACGATTAAATCAGTTGAAAAACAGTTTGAATTCATTTTTTGTTGCATCATTTTCAGGATATCAACAGAGTATTTGTTGTTGGTGATGGACAGTCCTATGGAAATTACTACAATGCTCCACTAGACCCAAATATAAACTACAATATTATTCTTGCTATGGTGAGTCGAATAAATGAAACAGAAAAAATTGTATACAGTGATGCCAGCGTAACTGGAAATGGGGTGTCTATATTAAATGTTAATTTTGATCAAGATGAGGGAGATTCACCAGCAGTTATTATAGGACTCTCGGTAGCAATAGGAGTTCTTACCTTCATGTTGATAGCTGGAATAATAGGGTTTATTTTTCTCAAGAGCCGAATTGTGAACAGAAGACATAGACTCTCTGACAATCAAGAACTGACTCTGCAGGGACCTATGATTGAAGTGGTTAGTAAAATTTATCTTATTTCTATTCACGTCATTGTCATTTTTGAGTATATTGTTACGCCCCTAGGTTTTTCAAAAAGTGAAACATTTGATAAAACACGTGTATTGTAACTGGTATTCAACTTATCCCATCTTCAGCACTGGTTGTGTTTTTAGAAGGTCCGCATATATTCTTTGAATTGTTTTTCGTCGCCAGCACTCTGGATTTATTAGTTTCTAGAATCAAATATAGTATTTATTAATGATAATAATGATGGCTTGCCCTAATATGGCAGAAATCTTGGTCTAACAAAAAAATGCTATCATTCCTGGTTTTTTATTTAAAGTTTAGTGTAGGTAAGATAGCTAAGTTTATCACTTGTACTTGTAGGACTGTGTGTATGTGATTGAGCTATGCCTGTATGTATGCAGGGTAAACAATTAACATTAAAACAGGTCTTGTGCAAATGATTGTTGTAAAAATCTGTAAAAGCTGTCTAGCCTTAAACTTTTTTAATTATTTTGTGTGACAAAATAGTTCGCACTGAGTTGTAGCTATTTTAATTATGTACGAAAATCATTTTCCGTCTCTAAAAGTTGACCCCATTTTATCCATTGGAACGACTTTTGAGTAAATTGATTTTCTCTTTAAAATCAAAATATTTTCTACGCTTTTCAATAATAATAATGAAATAATAATAATTATAGATGTTTCATTAACACTATCCATGAGGATAATTGAACAATTTTCACATTTTTTTTATTCTAACACCGTATCTTCATCGGTAGTAATAGTACACAGTGGACTACAATTTTTATATACAACAGTATTAAATACCTCACTTAATTGGTTAATGGTAAACGAGATAACAGGTAGAATTTGAAAAACAATTACAATCTCAGTTCTTGGATCTTTGTTTTGTTAAAAAATGTATCAATTTCTATGATTTTTTTTTTAATTGGAAGCCTGGATCGACTTTTATTTTGTTTTTTCCATAATGAACACACTTCCGTTTTAATGCTGAAACCAGAGCCTGGAAAGTTGAGAGCCGATTTCAGAAACAAAGTATTCGTGATCTAACACTAGACAGCGCTGTTTCAAACGTCATAGATCTGATTAGTGATGATGGGCTGAACCACGAATGCATTACTGGACTCAACTGTTCCTGAAGAACAAGCCTGAGAAAGTGAAGAAGATGGCACCTCCCTCTATGGGATTAACATGAGACTATCCACGAATATCAAAGACAAACGATGCTCCTCAAAGTGGTGAGGTGCAAAGATGAGCTTCGACAACTTTTGTCGAGATTTGTCCTCCGTCTTTCACTTCAAGGCAAACAGTAGAAACCTCGTTCATCTATAATATTCGTGGATTGATCTTCTATTGATTCCATAGAAAGCGTTTTCATGAAGGAAAATGTCATCGCCTCTACTTTTTGAGGCTTCTCCTCCAACGATAGTTGAATCCAGCAATGCATTTGTGGTTCAGCCTAGCACCATTGATGCCACCTATGGCGGGACGAAACAACACTGTCTGGTGTTGAATAATAAATGCTTTATTTTTGGACTCTGGTTTCAACTATTTGCTTTGCAGTGGAGGCAGAGGATGAACCTCATTCGGCAGTCAATGTTGAAGCTTGGCTTTGCCACTGACTGCCTTAGAGAGCCTCGTTTATCTTTGATATTTGTGGCCTTTGTCGATTCCATAGATGGTGTTTTTGTAATAATTTTTTCCTTTTTTAAACGGTTTTATTTAGCTTGCTCTGTTTTTGTTTGTTTATTTATTTGTTTGGGTCAAATTTAGGGCAGGACTTTAGTATTTGGGATAACGCCCACCAGGGGGAGTGGCATATCAATCGAAAGGGGACGATGAGAGGAACACAATGGGTTTCATCGCGAGGAAATGACAAAAAAATGTTCAAAATATGCTTCTTGGTTCTTATTGAATGTATGACTGGAAACAAAAAGTCAAAGGAGAAGATATTATTTTATAACAATACTGAGTTGGCAGTTTCGACACCTTCAATCATTTTATATTTTTCATTTACTCATTCACCAGTGACAGGAAACCCCATTTGAATATTTATTATACTATCTAAATAAAAGCACATTATGTATGTGTAATTTAAACCCAAGCTTAGCTTACATACTTGTTTTCTGCAACTAATAAGCAATTCTTACTATATAGAAGAGGATGCAAAGAGTCAACATTTTCAAATAACGTATTGATAGTAAATGATAGCCACAAGTTGAACTCTGCCATTTTCAAGGTAAGCTTGTACTTTGAAACCTTCAAGCATATACTATCAACGTGTTGACACATGTCATATTCTACTTGAGCATGTATCAACCAGTGTTTCAATTGTATCCACAAATTAAGAAGGGGTACTCGGATGCTGCACCTCTAATCTAAGGAAGCCATTTTTGATGACCTTCACCATTTTGTGAGGTTGAAACAAGAAATCAATTTCGAAGAGTCGGTCAATTCAGGTTCAGATGAACAAATAGTTTGAGTAAAAATATCAGACCTCCGACTGTTCTCTGCCTGACACTACCTAATCTGTGACACAGTACAGTGAGTAGTTCTTCTCTTGTGATTAAAGTTTCCAAAACCGTTCTGTATTGTTTGTCTGCCTAAAACAGTGAATTCTTAGATTTTTGTTATCATGAAATTGCCCTCTTCCATGTAAATGGAAATAATGTATCTACTTTGAACAGTGTTTTGGAAATAATGCAATATACAAAAATTGTATATTTCATAAATACCTGATATTGCATTCAATTAATTCACTGTCACACACTGACACCTCCTGCAACTAGGGTTCAATATTTCTTTTGTCTGATACGTTGAAAATTTTAGTATTCGCCATAATTAGACTAATAAATATTTTGTTTTCTTAATATTTTAGGAATTTATTGAAAATAGATAATTGGTATTATTTTTATTTATATATATATTGTACTATTGAAAATAGTTATTAGAAATGTATTATCTATAAACATTCCATTTATGATATTATTACATATAACCTCGTAATGTAGCTTCATAATGAGAAGAATCGAATAATAAAGATAGAAACTAAAAACTTGAAAATAAAATAAGTAAAAAAATCATGTTAAATGGTTCATTTGAAAAGAAAAGTAGATAATAATGATGTACATTATGTACTAAAAACTAAAAAATAATTCGGAAGGTCCTAGATAGCAGTTATTACACCACTCTCATCTTTCAGCAATCTACAGTATTGATCCGATAAAAAAAAATATTTAGGCGTATTATTTGCATATTCGCTTAGGAATCACACGTTAAAAGGTAAGACCTCGTTAATCCTTAGCTCGTACAAGTTTCGACTTCTGAGGGTTGTCGTTCGTAGGGGTGCGACAGGTGGTTAACAGAAAAACAGATTTTCTAAACAGATTTAAGCTACGCCCAACGATTTTATTATTTTTTTATCTGATCAATACTGTAGATTGCTGAAAGATGAGAGTGGTGTAATAACTGCTATGGACCTTCCGAATTATTTTTTAGTTTTCAGTATCTACATTATCTACATCATTATTATCTTTTTTATTCAATAAAACCGTTTAACATAGAATTTTTTTCACTTATTTTATCAAACATTATTTGCATAGGAACACTACTCTCAAATTGCATATTTTTATAAATGCAATATTATTGACTACTGAATTCTTCTTTCAGCAATTTATTGTCAATAAATTATTTTCAGCCTGTAGACGTCTCTGTTTCATGATTGTTCAGTAGTGATCTATAACAGTATGTAAAATATGATTTTTGTTTTTCAAGGAAAACAATGGGTATATCCATGAAGACGAACAAGTTCCCGTTAATCATTATAGAAACCTTAAGCAGAGAGTCCGTACCATTACTTCTAACCAACTGAAGATTGAACCAACTAATTTACTTGGAGTAGGTAAATATGGCAGAGTGAATAGCGGAACTCTTCACGAAAACGACACCATGATCCCTGTATCTGCTTATACTATTCAGGATAAAAAAATGTCTCAGGAAACCAAAAAATCGATGCTTCAAGATTTGGATGTGCTGATCAAAGTAGGAAAGCATGAAAATATCATAGCCCTAATTGGAACATGTGAGACATCAAATATTGTGTATGTTGTGATGGAATATGCCCCTATGAATCTCAAAGATTTATTGTTGAGTAGTAGAGACTCGGTGCCTGGAAAGTTTAGCAGCATGTCAGAAACTCAAGCTCTTGATATTTCTATTCAAATTGCGAGGGGAATGGCTCATTTAGAATCTTGCAAAGTGAGTATCCATTTAGTTTTTTTCAATCACTTCGAAAAAAGTATCTTCAAGCATTCATAGTTCGAAATGATAAAATATGCATTGGTGTATCACATAGAATAATTGACGAATTTCTTTAGGAGTTCATCAGCGCCCATTTTCATTTTCAAAACCACTTGTTCTAGAGTTTTACTAAAAAAGTTTTTTGAGTATTTTAGCAGGCGTCAGCACATTTCAGTGTTTACTATTAAAAAAAGTATCACAGATACCTGTGTATCAAATAGATTCAATTAATAATCATAACATCACCATCTATTTACATATATCCTCGAATTGTCAATTTAATATATGATATAGATGGAGAGAAAAGGTGTTTATGACTATCATACTCAAATTGAGCTTCAACAGCCCTTCTCCAGATTTACAGTAGAACAAAATTTACACACTTACTAAGTGAAGTTCTGTAACATATTTGTGGGTCGGTTTGGTTTAGTAGATAAAAGATCAAAATTGAAGAAAAATTTGAGTGAATATTACTGGTACGAGCATTTTACTCCACAGTTGAATTTTCAAAAATTAGAATCTCAAATTCGGGTACAGTTATAGATTTTTTCCCCCGAATAAGTCATTCATTGAGGTTTAACTTATAAAATCCTCATGATACTCTAAAATGTAACCATTCTAGAATGAAATACAACTTAATCTTTGAACGTTGGAAATTTAGTTGTTACATTCATCACAGTTAATAAATTTCATTTCTCATCGCACTAACACTACGAGAGACTGAATTGAAGATGTGAATCGTGTGAATCTACTTGGTGGCTCCGATAGTGTAGTTAGTTAATGCGCCTGCCAGAGAACAGGAGAGCCAAGTTAGAATCCTGGTCGGGTCACGTTTTTTCGTATGTCTGCATACCGCAAATTAAATCTTTCGTATTATATTACAGATGCTAATTCCTCATGTATTTCAATTTGGTTTATTTCATGTATTGAGGGTTATGATATAAAATCCTGATGATGCTACTAAATGTAAGCCATTCCGGAATGAAATAACAAGTTAAACTTCCAATGAATAAAAGTTTAGTTGTTAATTTCATCACAATTAACAAATTCCATTCTCATCTCACTAACACTACGAGAGAGACTGAACTGAAGATGTGAATCGGCCGTCATTTTACTTGTAATGCACTGTTTGGAACCTTTGGTGAATATTACTGGAGTTTTATCCCAACACAAAACCGTTATTTTTAATACCTAGACATGTGTTTCGATAACCAAGTGAGGAAGATTATTCTTTCTCTTGAAGATGATAACCACACATGTGGTACACATGTACCACATGAATATGCCTTTTATCTGACAAGGCAAGTAAAGTGATTTAGATCTCAATATGTCACCATAAATTCACACCCCTTATCCCCAAAAACTGAATTTTGGGCAACAATTTTGGGTAACCATTTAGTACCATCTTTTTGAAGGCAATTTAAATTGTGAAGGATAATTCAATTTGCTAAATAATCAAGTTACACCAAGCATCACCAACGCCATCCAGTTAGATCCTCTGTTGCGAAATGGGGTATTTTTGTACAAGATGGGGCTTCTCCTTATTGCATAGTACTAGTGCAACAGTTCCTCGATAATAACTTTCCCGTGTTGATGGATTGGAATGAAGGTTCTACAGAATCGCCACCCATATCCCCTGATTTGACTCCACTGTATATTTTTCTATGGAGATGGTTGAAATCAAAAGTCTAAGAGAAGCAGCCAACTCCCGTAGATGATTTACAGTAAGAAATTACCACTTGATGTAGGTTACTAAGACCTTATATTCTTCACTATGAAAGGGAGGAAACATAAGCTCGTTCAAACCATGTTATGAAAATTAATGGTTTTCAGTTTGAACATTTTTATAAAGTGAATTTTTTTGTTCAGTTTCATTTTATAAAAGTATTCTATTTTTTCTGACTGTTGTAATGTCAAAAATTTTTTACACATTTTTTCACATTTTCTCATTCGAAAGACTTTTCAAATAAGAGAATGAGATTTTTGTGTCCGCCTGAAAACTAAAGTTGAGGTGTTTCGCAACTTATGTACAGAGTCAATATCAAATGACTTATTCAGGGTGGCTTGTTTTAAGAGAAATGCACTGTATGTCTAAATATACTATTAGTGTTGTATTAATCTGACACTTACCATGCCACTATTCTGAGAGTCTCTTCGTGAAAGAGTAACATTTCATAAAAATCTCTGCCATACAATGCCACCAATTTTTATAACAAATGGCAAATTTCTATAATATATTGTTCATATGGATTTTCATTATTAAGTTAACGGCCCCTTCTATCCAACATGTTTCTTTATTTGAAAATTATCAATCTTCTTTTGATGCCAGCCTAAGGTCCAGTTATATTTTCAGGTTTTACATAAGCAGCTCTGTGCACGAAGTGTGATGATATCAAATAAATTTAATGCAAAAATTAGTGGATATGGCATTGCTCAGTATTTCAGTCACAACAAAATTCCAGATTATACAAGGTGGACAGCTTTGGAGGTATTCAAGAATCAACCTCACAATCCTACAAGTGATATTTGGTCCTTTGCTTGTTTGTTGTGGGAGATGTCTTCCTTAGGTATGTATATAATGTCCCAACACAACCGTTTTTATTACATGCTTTATATTAGCTTCACCAGTATGTATGTATGTTTGTTTGTAACTTTTCTTTTCCGTTTGAATGCTCGGGATCTGTATTTGACAGAATTATCGACATTATTGCTTCATCTATTCGCGGGCAGATGGCGCTGTACGTAACCTCCTTGATATAATTCGAACTCACTTTACTTCATTTGAAATTTCAGCATTTGAAAAAAGTATTTTTTCACAGCTTCGTTCCTAGTGTTTCTTCGAAATAGCAAGTAAATAAAAGAATTTCACTTGAGTAGAGATGAATTTGCAATATTTTTATAATAATAGACAACTTTATTGACGATAAAAAATCATAAAATCAATCAGTTCATCTATTGTCTTTTTAATGATATAGTATTTGATTTTATAAATAATTTTTGTGTTCATTTATATGTACATGAAAACATTTGGTGCTTAAATCATTTTTGTAAATTCTTCAAATGGTTGATTAAAATGTAACTTTATTGAGGATGGAATGGCCACGATCTAGATTTGTTTGAACTGACGATAGTTGTGATTCAGCGACCTAATTTTTTCGGGAATTCTGGTAGCTGTATGTGAATAATTATATTTTCATCTAAGGTAGAGCAAGAGTTGTCGACCCATATTCATGAACCATAAAATCCTGATTCTATCCACAATTTGTATATTCAAAAGCTTTATGTTTGCCAGGCAGAATTTATTAATTTTTTTGTGTCAACGTATATCAACATAATCACAATACACACTTCATTATTCTCTTGAGAATCCCAAAATATAGAATGTCACTTAAAAAGTCTCCTAATTGGAATATCATCACGTTTTGTAACAAACTTCTAATGAGGTGAAACTAGCAAGTAGAAATATTCCGTAATAAACAGTTATAACTATTTTTTTAAATGATAACTTTTAGTTTAATTTTTACTGATGATATGTGGAGCACATGTTTCAGCTGTCACATATACTTCTTTTCTTTTATTCCTTTAAACCTAAGTACACTGACTTACCATATATACTTGATGTATTCAAAATGGTAAATAAAGATCATTATTATTGTAAGCCATTTTTCTTAAAAATTTTGCTTCACTAACCAATAGATTTTTTTTAATAAATTCACTGCTTGATACTATCTTTCACTTTACAGGTGGAACACCATATGGTAATATTGCAAGTAATAATGAAATTCCCGAGAAAATACTTAAAGGCTTGCGTCTCCCACAGTTACAGTATATAAGTGACGACTTGTATCAGGTTATGTTAGATTGTTGGCAGCTAGATTGTGATGAAAGACCCAAGTTATGTTCAAAATATGCTTCTTGGTTCTTATTGAATGTATGACTGGAAACAAAAAGTCAAAGGAGAAGATATTATTTTATAACAATACTGAGTTGGCAGTTTCGACACCTTCAATCATTTTATATTTTTCATTTACTCATTCACCAGTGACAGGAAACCCCATTTGAATATTTATTATACTATCTAAATAAAAGCACATTATGTATGTGTAATTTAAACCCAAGCTTAGCTTACATACTTGTTTTCTGCAACTAATAAGCAATTCTTACTATATAGAAGAGGATGCAAAGAGTCAACATTTTCAAATAACGTATTGATAGTAAATGATAGCCACAAGTTGAACTCTGCCATTTTCAAGGTAAGCTTGTACTTTGAAACCTTCAAGCATATACTATCAACGTGTTGACACATGTCATATTCTACTTGAGCATGTATCAACCAGTGTTTCAATTGTATCCACAAATTAAGAAGGGGTACTCGGATGCTGCACCTCTAATCTAAGGAAGCCATTTTTGATGACCTTCACCATTTTGTGAGGTTGAAACAAGAAATCAATTTCGAAGAGTCGGTCAATTCAGGTTCAGATGAACAAATAGTTTGAGTAAAAATATCAGACCTCCGACTGTTCTCTGCCTGACACTACCTAATCTGTGACACAGTACAGTGAGTAGTTCTTCTCTTGTGATTAAAGTTTCCAAAACCGTTCTGTATTGTTTGTCTGCCTAAAACAGTGAATTCTTAGATTTTTGTTATCATGAAATTGCCCTCTTCCATGTAAATGGAAATAATGTATCTACTTTGAACAGTGTTTTGGAAATAATGCAATATACAAAAATTGTATATTTCATAAATACCTGATATTGCATTCAATTAATTCACTGTCACACACTGACACCTCCTGCAACTAGGGTTCAATATTTCTTTTGTCTGATACGTTGAAAATTTTAGTATTCGCCATAATTAGACTAATAAATATTTTGTTTTCTTAATATTTTAGGAATTTATTGAAAATAGATAATTGGTATTATTTTTATTTATATATATATTGTACTATTGAAAATAGTTATTAGAAATGTATTATCTATAAACATTCCATTTATGATATTATTACATATAACCTCGTAAAGTATTTTACTTGCTGTTGTATTTTTATACATCATAATAAACCATTTTTAAAATTTTGGAATTGAATGTTTCACCTTTCCAAAAGATATTTCTCCTACGAGATAACAAGGAAATACATATTTTTTTTTCAAACCTTTTTTTTTCCTCAAAACTGATTGTTGAGCAAATATGGATGAAACTGGAAGGAAGGGATATATTTGTGTAGATTTCACTTTTATATTTTCTTGATTTACTGCTATCTATTCTTGATCTATTGCAAGCATTGAAAAATCTGATACAATTTTTGAGTCACTTAAAAAGGAATATACTCAGTGTCCAAGATAAAGAGGGCCAGTATAAGATAATTGGAAACCATAAGAGAGACAGTAATTTAAATTAGGAGGTCCATTTCAGAGTTTATTCAAATTATTTCATAATCAGTGGATTATGATGGTACACTAGTAGAGTTGTCGAAAAAAACCTGACTTTCTTTCCAATCCATAAGAGTAAAATTGATGATGGTTGTTTCTCAGAGACGAAACATGAGTATTAAAAATCCGTAAAAGCCATCATGAACAACTAAAAAGGTTGCAACGAGATTTTTTTTTATATCCTATTAAATAATATTAGAAAAAATGAAGGGAAAGTGGCAAATTTTGGTCCTTTTTGAATACCTTCGGAACTAATCTAAAATGGACAACTGTTTCCTAATTTAACTGACTTTGTACCTTACACGTTTTTCGACTTTTCCATGCTGGCCCTCCTCAACTTGGACAGACAGTGATATAGACTGCCCTCAAGACTATGGAAGCACACGTAGATAGATTATAAGAGTAGAAACAATCGCCCAGCCAGGGAAATGTTTGAAAAATTGTCTGTATTTTCATTTATCAGATCTATATCACCAAACTTAGAGCGGTTCGGGTCATTATTGTAACATTAACTGATGATTCACTCGATTTTGCTATTTTGTGGTCAGCTGATTCCAACAGAGGTTTTTACGAAGACTCTAATCAGCTGTGTTGTATATATCCAGAAAAATTTGATAGATCTGAAAATCCATTATAACGTTTTCAAAAAACACATATTACTACTATTGTGACTTCCAAAGATGCTATTGTATATCGAAACACGTGTCGCGGTTTTGTGAACTTTCAATTGGAAATCTTACATCAAAGCGTGTTTTATGAATATGTTATAGATCCAGAATTATACCTGACAAAGAATACTTCTTGGCAGCTGCCATTGAGATATTTTTGTAAACTACAGTTTCTTCAATTCTATTTTTTTTATGTTTTCATTTCAGTTAGTTGGGAATTGTTTTCTTTGCCATAGGTTCAGTAAAGTTCAGTCTTATGATAATTTCATGACAGGTAAATTTATCCAAAAATTATCTGGACTAAAGTTTGGGAACAACTTTTTATAGATATACCACATATTTTGAAAAACTAGCTTAAAAAGAAATTTGTTAGTTTGAACTTAATGTTTTATTGAATATAGTATTATTCATATTAATAGGATGTGATGTGAATTTGGCAATGAAAATATTTTATGGTAGGTATGTCACAGTAAGGTTAAAACCATGAAATTTTTTGTAATAATTTATTCCAGGAAAATAGTCACTCTTCATAAAAAGTTTTGCAAAGACTGAAACCAAAAAAAAAACAACCATTGGTTTTTAANAACAATTAATGATTTGCAACTAATCAAAATAAGCTTCAATAAATGACTCTGAATTTGTAGGTTGCATCTAGTTTCCAATCAAACAATCACTGAACACCACAATCAATGATAAAAAATGTGTTAGAAGAGATACTATTGTAGAATTATTTATATTTTCATCATAGTGACTGAGCTCATATACAACTCCAAACATTTCATTTAACTAAACAAGGGAATCAAATTATAATTTAACATAATAAACATATAAATACCTCTACAATTTTACAGAAGAAAACATGTATCAATGTCAAACAATTTTAAATTCCACTTTAACTTCTATTGGACTTTATATCACTTTTATTGCTACAGTGATTACCTCACGTTCATCTGAATACACAATTGTAGTCATGAACAAGCAAAATATTGGGAATAATAAATGGAAGTTTTGAAAATTTTACTTTTGTTATATAATACTGAATTTTGTCTATAAAAAAAAGTATCAAAAATACTTTATCAATGAAAATATTGAACAAAAGACATATTGTGGAGGAAATCAATAATTTTCATTAGCTTTTTCAGATAATTTCACCACCCACAACGTAAAAAATCAAAAATTGTAATGGAGAATTTCATACAGGTGTCATACCAGTAACTAACTTTATCGCAGCTTCATCCCACAAAAACACAGTAACGTTAGTTACAAATACAAGTAGTATTAAAACATAGGAAGTTTGAAGTCTCATTTTTTTCATAATGATCTCCTATCACGTAGTAACAGCTTACTCCATCAAATTATTATTTCAGATTGTGTAAGGTGAAAATACTGTAAAAGGTTAATGAAAAAGATATATTCTCAAGTTTTCAAATAAACGGTTTACAAAACCATTATAGTACGAGTCATATCTAAAAAAGCTATTGTACAGTGAAACATTTGCTGTTGTGGTTCATGTGATCTCACAATAAAATGTTTTCAACACATCTATTACAGATTTTCATCAAGTATTAGCAAACACTCCCAAACCGAAAAAGCGTTACCAATGGAAAACACTTTCTTTTGTAAAAATTTAGATCAAGAAATCATACAGGAATTATTTGAATTTTAACTCACATTCACAATAAGTTTTTCCACTTGTTGCAACTCCACTATATTGGTGGACTGGTAACGGTATGGGTATTATCAAAAAATTTCAAGCCAAACAATAGCTTCTCTTTTATTTTTACCAACCTAAAAATACGGATCTACAGATATTATACAATTTACTTCAAAGCTACTTCAGATAAGCAAATAAAAATAATATAATAGTACAGTCATGCCTGAAGAAGCTATTGTATAGCGAAACACATGTTGGGTTTTTGTAACTGTTTAGTGAAAATTGAATAAATAAAAATAAAATGTTTCTTACTATTTTTACCCTTCCACAATCTGAAAAATGAAGAAACATCTGTAGAGAATTTGCTGAAGTGTAATAAAGGGCAAACTGAAAAGTTTACCGTAAAAAGTTACAGCATATTATGAACTACTGAAAAATCTAAGAGATTTTTTTGGGTTTTGAGAACGGCAAAGGATTAGTTTCCAAAACGTTATGATAAAAGAAAGTCAAATATGAAAATTTATGTTTTTCCATTGATTACTCAATTTGTAGACAGAATTCATGAATATGACAAGTTACTAATTTTTGTTTGAAGGTGATTGACAATGTTTCATGATCAATTTCATTAGTTCGAACTTCCATTGTCTCATATTATATAAAATAATTTGAAATCCCTGAAAGAACTAATAAAAAAGGAAGAACTGAAAATGAATAGCAGGAAAATAACAATTATTTTAAGCAAAACACCTGAAATGAAACAAAAGTGAAATAAAATACAAGTAAAAATAGAACAATTGAAGAAAAAATAAAATTTAAAAGTTGAGTTACTTCACGACGTTTCGATTGTTAGTATCCACAACCGTCTTCGGGTGATGACTAGACTAATTCCTCCGAAAGATGACTATTCATGGGTCATTCGAGTATTTTCACTTATCTCTGCTTTCCTTTTTTCGCTTCACTGGTTTAGTGGGAGATAACCGTTTGGCCGGAGTTGGGCATTTTTGGCTTGATTATGGGTTTCTATATGTTGCGTATCTCTACGCCAGCTTGGTTGAATACATTGTTGGACAACATGTATGCGGCTTCTTTGAATTTCCTCCTGAACCAATGTTCCTCCCTATGTATGACTATGTTAATGGGTCCAAACATGTTCTGCTATTCCTGATTTGCTGGTTTCCCCTCACTGTGTGTGTTTCTTGTACTCGACGATGCCAACATTGAATGGCCTCTCAGTTCCACCGATATAGGATTTCCCGCACTCACAGGGTATCGGGTAAATGCAATTCTTGGAATCGCAGTTCGCGTTTGGTGGCCTGGTTGTCCTGAGGCTGCTACGGATAGTGTTCCCGGATCTGAGGCAGGTTCTGATGTTGTACTTGGATCCAATTCTTCTTATCCTTTCCAATAATCCTCTGAGGTAGGGAAGAGCAAGCACTGGTTGTGACGGCTTCTCTTCCTTGCGAGGCTCCTGCTGTCTTTTAGCCAAAGTCTGTTCCAGCATCGCTTTGGAGTAACCATTCCGTTGAAGATAATTTTTGATGATGTCTAGTTCCTTCTCGAGACCTTCCTTCGTATTACAGAGCCCGAAAGCACGGTCTAATAAAGTCTTGATTTCTTTCAGTCGATTGTTTAACAGTGTTTCATTTGAAATTTTGTTTGCTTATAAACTACTAATACCTGAGTTTTGAGTTATTCGATATGATCTATTTCACTTTTGATTTGCATTTTCTTATGTAATTTGATTCAGAATCACCATTTGCAAAAATCAAATATTGAACTATTCAAATTGAAGGGGTTATATTTTTAGGAGTGATTAATTTTTGGGAAAGAAAGTAGCTGAATACAGTGAATACATATTATTTTACTGTCTGCTTCAAATATGTGAACTTGATGGAAATTCGTAATGTATACATTAGATTTATCAGGCGTGTTCATACTGAACACACGCCATTGTATGGCGAAACACGTGTTGCGGTTTTGTAAACTGTTAAGTGAAAATCTCACAATAACGTGTTGTATGCTTCAATGCTTCCAAAGAATTAAGACTGAGCCTTTCTGAAAACTCTTGATGAAGATCTACTGTATCCTTAATTTGCTGAGTGTGTATTTATCCTAAAGATGGTTTTCGAGTCTCAAATTGTTGGATAATTTGGGACAATAGAAATCATACGTTAAAAGATAAGACCTCGTTAGTCCTTAGCTCGCACAAGTTTCTCAACTCCTGAGAGTTGTTGTTCGTATGGGGGCGACAGCTGATTAACGGAAAAACAGATTTTAAACAGATTTTCAAACAATAAAAGTACCCTGACAATTTTTTGCTCAGAGTAAAACATCTATAGAGTCTTCCGAATTTTGACAATTGATAACGGCCATCTTGTTTCACCAAACCACCATGGACGGATTCAGTTTTCAACAACTGGTGCAAATTATTTCCAATGTGGTGAATAAATTTCAGTCGACTGGTTCAGTGAACAATCGACCAACACCCAAACGTAGACGAAACGCAAATTCTGCCGAAAACATCGCCGCTGTCTATGAGAGCGTGCAGGAGAATTAGAAGCAGTCGATTTCGCGTCGCTCACAAGAACTCGGCCTTTCACAGACCACAAGTTGACAAGTTTTGCGTCGTGACTTGGGCCTGCACCCGTACAAAATTCAACCGATCCAGAAACTGAAGGTAAACGATCATAGACAACGACGATTGTAGGCTGAATGTGGTCTGGAGCAGTTGACAACTGACCCTAATTTTCATAGAAAAATCATCTTCAGCGATAAGGCCCATTTCCGGATGAATGGGTACGTGAACAAACAAAATTGTCGAACTTGGGACGATACCAATCCACATCAGATCCAAGAGCGTTCAATGCATCCCAAAGAAAGTCACTGTTTGGTGTGGATTTTGGGTTGGCGGCATCAACGGTCCATATCTCTTTGAGAACGACGTTGGCCAGGCCATCACTGTCAACGGCGAGCACTATAGGTTGATGATTAACAATTTCTTTTGGACTAAATTGGATGACTTAGACACCGACGACATGTGGTTTCAAAGGGACGGCTCTACGTGCCACACAGCTTATTCCACCTTGGATATTCAGCACGAGCGATTTGAGGCCATCATCTCACGTGAAGATGATGTGAACTGGCCACCGAGATCGCGCGATTTGTCCTCGTTGTACTTTTTATTGTGGGATTACCTGAGTCGCAGGTGTATGCGAATATTTCACAAACCACAGTAGTCCTCAAAGCCAACATAACCCATACCATCGGTCATTGAACATTGGATGTTTCGAATTCGCTTCACCCAGAGAAGCCGTGTTATATTCCACACATAATAACAACACTAGGTCTTCCAAACGAATAAAAAAAATTTAAAGATAGGGGTCGCTTAATGAAAGACCCTATATGAGCAAGCCTGTTTCAAACTAAGTAAACGTAAGAGACACACATTCAGACAAATCAGGAAAAATACCTCTGTATTAGAGGAAGCAACGTCCAATAAATCTAGAGAGAGAGACCTCTTTATAAGCGTATTTATATGAAGTTTCAAAATCAAAAACATTCCGATTGAAGTTACATATCAGTGAGGATGTCGCCAAAAATGCTAACTGATATCGTTTGATTTTTTTCTTCGATCCATATTAACATCAAAAATCTCAAAAATCTGTAAACGCCGTCTTGTACTGATCGACAAGTTGCAGGAGTGAGAAAGTTATGTTTATGTTTTGAAAAGGAAAATGGATTCCAATTTGATGTGCAGTTATACATGCCAAGATGACAGTAAACTGCATTACCTCAATTATTGTCAATTTATGAATCTCAATGAATAAATTCATTCAGATCTTTCATGGTCTTTGTATTTACTTTTTCACCAAAAATCACATTTGGCATTACTTCAATTTCATTTTGTTTCAAGATTTAATTCTAGATATCCCAACTCTGTATTTATTCAAGGATATTTTTTTTGTTATCATTATTGAAATTTCATATTGAATAAATGAATTATTATCATCAACATTATATTATTATCTCCTTAAGTCAGAGAAAAAAATTAACAAAATTGAGAATTTTGGTTCTTTTTGAATACCTCCGGAACGAATTGAATTTTCCTTAATAAAAAAAATTAAATAAACTCTAAACTGGGCAACTTTCTTCCAATTAAACAGGAATATCCTTGAATTCTAAACAATGGTGAGTTGAAGAACAATTCAACGTTCTACAACTATATACAATTCAGTACAATCATACCTCAATTAAAGGGAGATTCAGGAACTTAACCGCCAGAAGTGCATCCATATGTAGAAGTTCATAGAAATCTCCCTTCTTGAAAAATATAACTGCATCTGCATTATCCTTTTTGAAGTTGCACCACTGCTTCACAGTGGGTGATACTGTTTCAAGCCGACTTTCTGAAACATAAAGTGTATTAGAATCCTAACTCTGATCACTGAAAAATTGGAAACGACCGAAGAAAGTTAAGTAATTCAAGTTTGATCTATCTGCAGCCTATTGAATATCACTGAATTTTTTCCCAACACCAAACCGTTATTTTAACACCTCGATACGTGTTTCGATAACCAAGTGATCATCTTCAAGAGGAAGATTAAAATAAAAATACTTACAATGTTATCCTTATTTATACAACTCTTCTAGGTACCTGTGTCTTGAGTGTCCTTAATTAATTTCAAAATATTGCCTTATCTACTAGTCGTAAATCAATTTTACAGTGTGTCCTTATGTAACAGTCAGGTAACTCTAACAATTAAAATAATATGTTTAAAAGCTATATAGTATACTATTAGATATTGGTCCGCAATCTTTATTCATAATATTATCATGTTTACTTATTTCTACACTCTCATAGACATCTAGATGCATGTTGGTGTTAACTTGTCTAACTAATCTTTATTAACTGAAGTCTATGAAATGGTTTTGTTGCAGAATATGATGGGTGACTGCTGATTTTTTTGGTCTTCCATATTTCAGGTGTGCTAAGTGTTCCTTATATCTTAATTCAACAGATCTTTTTGTCTGTCCATAATATTTTGCATAGCAGTACATTTAATTTCGTAAATTCCGGACTTTTCCGAATTGGTGGTATGGAACTGGGATATACCAAAATAAATATATCTCAGTTCCATACCACCAATACACGAAGAACTTTGGAAAGATTTTCAAGGGACTAGGTATGAAGGTGGTTTTTAAAACAAGTCTTTTAGGAAATCCAAAAGACAAAATCGAGAATTCGGAAAAGTCTGGAATATATGAAAATAAATGTAAGGACTGCGATGTAAAATATTATGGACAGACAAAAAGATCTATTAAAATAAGATATAAGGAACACTTAGCACACTTGAAATATGGAAGACCTGTAAAATCAGCAGTCGCCCATCATATTTTGCAACAAAACCATTCCATAGACTTCAGTTCATTAAGATTAGTTAGACAAGTTAACAACAACAGGCATCTAGATGCCTATGATAGTTTAGAAATAAGTACACATAATAATATTATGAATAACGATGGTGGATCAATAGTATACTATATAGTTTGTTAAAATAATATTTTGATTATTAGAGTTACCTGAATATTACATAAGTAAAATCACATTGTAAAATTAATTTAAGGCTAGTATATAAGGCAATATTATGAAATTAGCTTAAGACACTCCAGGCACAGGTACCTAGAAGAGCTATCTATGGTATAAGTGATGATAACATTGTGAGTACTTATAGTTTAATCTTCCTCTTGAAGATGAGCACTTGGTGATCGAAACACATGTTCCGAGGTGTTAAAATAACGGTTTGGTGTTGGGGAAAAAACTCAAGTAATATTCAGTTCTGGTGTGGCCAGAGCTTCCAAGTTTGCCTATTGAAACGATGAAATGAGTGCAGTAGATATTTTTTCAAATCAATGATATTTTTCTCAACTTGTCTTGGTGAAACAAATGAAAAATCATAATTGCTGCTGATTATAATGTAGATCTTTTAACTTAGGATAACAAGGTGTTAATACTAATTAGTTGGGGCTATATTACCATTATTGAGCACACTAGACTAGCCACACACTGTGAATCATGCCTAGACAGAATTCTTGCAAAAAATCAAATCAGCGATTACTGAACAGAAAATATGTATCTCGGTATATATGATCACTAATATTGAGAGATGCTGAAAACATTAGTTTCACACCTCAGCCTGAATATTCAAAGAAGCTATAGCAAATCCATTGCGAGGGCACCTTTATATAGGCCCTTCATTTCCTGTAGAAAGTATGTCGTTATCCATGTTGTAATCGTGATTGTTCTCTAAAAGGTTGCAAGCAAAGATGGAATTGGTTTTCTTCAGTTCAAAACTTCTTTCAAGATCAAAAGTTCTGAGTTTTGAATTGAAGTCCTTCGTAAACTTTTGGATATGATCCACACGTTAATTTGTTATCTTTGTCCATGTTCATGTTGTTCTTTATATGTCAACCCAAGGAGTTAACAGTCTCATATGTTATTGTACTCTCTGGTTAGTTTTTTCATTTCATCTTGATGATTTTCCTGTATATGTGGGTGTTTTGTAGGTTTTTTTTAATGTTTCTGTTTGAAATCTGTGAGGGTAACACCAACCCAAAAAAAATCAGAATTAATAGAAAGACTACTGACAATAAAGAACATTAACATAGCATTTGAAGTTGATTTAAAGTTGGACACTCCTTGGATGGACAGCAAGTCAATCAAGATAACAAATAAAGGGTCTACAAACTGAAATGTGGAAAGTTAATATAGGAAGGACTCCAAGAAATATCAAAACAAGAAACTACGAGCATAAACCATATAACAGAGCCATATTCTAATTTTGACCTTACGTAGGCTACATAAAGAATAAATAAAGCAGATATGTTTGAAAAAGATAAACCTTTGCTAACTAGAAAGCCATAAACTCTCAATGCTTCACTTAATTTCGATCTAATGTGGTTGAAAAAAGGCAAATTTTGATAAAAGTATACACCAAATTTTTCATTGAGTTATTTCGTGACAGTGAAATGGTATCTACTCGATAATTGTACTCGATGACTGACATTTTCGTACTATAAGACACTACTTTACAATTGGATGCATTGAGATATAGTTTGTTAACTTCACACCAAGTCTGTATATTTTATAACTGTTGTTGCAATGTACTACAGTCTTCGATAGTTTCGACAGGTGAATATATTTCTAAATCATCTGCAAAAAATAATTTTTTACAATCGACATAATTACTGAGGTCATTAATAAATAATAAGTGGTCCGAGATTCGACCCCTGAGGTACTCCAGATGAAGGATTGTAATAAAAAGAATCATAGCCGTTATAAGATACAAACTGTTCGCGTTGAAGTAAGTATTACGATTTAAATACACGATACCTAACAAAAGTGAATTATAATTAACAACTCTTTCCCAATACTTCGCGTATGTGTTGTACCTATAGCTCCGCTATTGCCTCGGAGCAAGAAGAGTATTTGTTGTTCTATCTTTCTCTAACACCCTAATAGCCCATTAATTTCCACACATCAGCAAGAAAAGTTATACGGTATCATTGATAGTCATTTTGAAATGAAGTGTCAAAAAATGTGATCTAGTAAAGAATCAGGCATTCAAGAAACGACCTTGAGTGGGAGAACCAGAATACCTACCAGAAGGATGATGACAGTCCAGATGAACGAATACTGGCAAATTTATAAAGGAGCAGAACCATAAAGCAAACATATAAGCAAACAATTAATCACCAACTTGGTCTCAGGAAAAATAAATAAATTAAATCAGTTTCATAACATTTATTAAACAAACTAATTTTGACATTTGTCACCTTTTTAGTTACTGAACTAGAAAAAAATTATGGCATTGTTCAAATCATGTATGAAAGATTTCAGTTTTAGCTACAATAGAATGTCAAGTTCCAAAGTCGTGAATTTAGGAGTGCCTCAAAACATCCATCCTAGTACTACTGTTATTCCTAAATTTCATAAATGACCTGTCTGAATCCTTTTAACACGGTATACAAATTCAGTGTTTGGTGTTAACATAACAAACTCAATCTCTTTCAATGAGATCATTTTCTCTGTCTCTCTGTTCTGGAAGACAAGATATTCAATGAAGTGAGAAATGAAACTTTCTTTGTTTTCCACCACTGTTGTTGGTAACTGTGATGCACTGTTTGGAATGTAGTAATGAATATTACTGGAGTTTTTTCCCAACAACAACCCGTTACTTTAACACCTCGACGCGTGTTTCGATCACCAAGTGATCATCTTCAAGAGGAAGAATAAACTAAACTGTAATTTAAAATTAGTAATGTTAAAATACAATAAATGTAAGAAACCTATTTCAGTCTGCATTGAAATCGCAAAACTAATTTTGGTACTACAAAAACAATAAATCGTGACTGGATTCAAAATTCAAGAACTGGCCCCTTGTAAGTTCATTTTCGATAAATGGATATTTTTCACTTGTTGTTGGCCGTTTTGTTTTTTTATATCTGACAATGGCGTCTCATTTTCGAATCCAAAAGGAAAAGGGGAGACAACGAAAAGGATAATAAGAATCAGTCTAAATTAAACACAAGAAACTGTTTCAGACAGAATAAGAAGGGACAATAAGAGACAACATGATATCTGTTTCAAACTATTTTTGTTATTATTCAAATTACATTCATTTTGAAGTACCTGTTTTATCAACCGTATCTGGGGAAGATGAAGATGAACTGGCCACGACTTGAATTAGGTCTTCATCAGGCATTTCTGGACCGCGTAGTCTAGAAGAAGGCGCATCTCTTTCAGCTGATTCCTCTCGAGGAGATTCATCTGTATTTGACAGTTTCCTCTTATTGGTTTTCGTAAACAATTTAGATTTTCCTGTGGAATGAACATCAATTGAATTTGGGTATTAGGAATACAGATATGAAAAAAAAATCAACAATATTAAGATTAAAAACTGTTTGGATGTACTGAAATCCATAATTCGAAAGTACTTTTTCATACTATTGCTGTGAAAACTCCAATAAATATACGAGAAACCAGGCCTGATTTTTACTTATTCCAAAAACCATTGTGAATTTTTACCCCGGTAAAGACTTGTGAAAAATATGGCCTACTTGAAATTTTTTACACATACACGGATATCTCCGCTGTCTAAACTTCAGTAAAACCTAATCGAGGTTGACAGAATCCGAGCTGGTCTGCTACTGCAGCAGACATTCTCAGTGGTCGATACGTTTACTGCAAGGACGAAGGTAATATCTTAAATTCTCAATAACAACTGACTAGGGAGCTCCCTATTCACTTGTATTCATACTTTTTGGAGGTGGTGGCGGGGCTGGTGTTGGATGTGGCGGCGAGACTGCTGCTGAGGTGTCCATGCAAATGCTCACTCCTGATGGGTACGCATAAACAGAGACTCGCAAGAATTGTGTTTACTAGATATATTGTTACCGTAGCAAGTCCTGTAATTACTGAAACTGAAGCCACTGAAAAAGTGAGGGATTACAAGAACACCCTACGAAGAGAAATCAGTAAGTCTAGAGTAGCGGGGCATTTCTGGATTCTCCAGTACAATATCATATGGTCCGAAGTACAAATCTTACATAGGAACACTTAAAAAATAGTTGACAAACCACGGGGATACAATGATATGTACCGATTCCGAGGATAAACAAAATATGGCGTTACGATAGCAAAAAGAATAACCCATCAAACGTTTAAGTGGAAAGTTTCACAACAAAAAGTCAAACAGGAGTTGGTCAGTAAAATTAGAAATTTGTGAAAATTTTGAAATTGGAGTCTTGAGCCATCAGCAAGTATTCAAATAGTTTAAAGGGTAAACGGCTTTACAACGATATGCTTAATACCCTCAATCAATTTTCTTTGTTTGTGACCGTGGCAAATTGGACTTCAAGTTTCAAGACTTGAAGATTCCATTGAATATGCAATTCTATCCTGAAAACTGGTTTCAGTGTCTACCCCCGTAAATATCTATACAGTTCATGACATGACTTCATCAAACCGATGAATTAGACATCTTATAGTTCATGTCAATTCGGACATGAAAAAAGTTATGCAAAATGGATCCCCAAATGTCTTAATTTTGATTAGAAGCGTGCATGTGTGGAAATATCATGTTCAATCTGTGCTCGGTTTTAAAAAAAGAAGCAAACTTCTTGAGCCGTGTTGCTAACTTGGGTGAAACTTGGATACATTTTTACGACCCAGAAACAAAGCAGCAATTGATGGAATAGAGAAACTCTGGATCTGCAAAGTGTTCTAAAATCTGATGGAAAAGTTCTTGCTTCAGTTTTTTGGATTTGCCAAGGCGTTATCATGACTGAATTTCTAGAAAAGGGTAGAACAAAAACTGGGAATTACTATTCGACGTTAATGACCATTTTACGAAAAGAATTATAGAGAGAAGATACAAAAATTTTTCTAAAGGTATTTTTTTTAGGGTTCGATTCACGAGATCTGGCTTTGAAAGACTTCCATTCATTTCCTCAACTGAAAAGAAGTCTAAATCTTCGTAAATTTCTATGAAACAAATAGGTGAAAGAAGTTGTGGGGGCCTCGACTGCAGAGTTTTATGTTCTAGAGCAGTTTCGCTGTATTGAATGTATCCAAATTGAGAGGAGAGTAGGTGTATTTTAAACATTGTTTGCTTCTATAGTTATGTTAGGTTAGGTCCAAAGTGAGTGGGTCTATTCAACCCTCCACCGCAACCCGCAACGGTTTATTGTGCTCACACCTATTCATACTCAACCAAATAAACCCAGCTTCTCAACGAAAGACCTGATTCGGTGCCCAGCGGGGCAGGCACAAAGTATATGTTCTGCTGTTTCATCATTAATCGAATACACAAGGTGCAAGATTTCCATCTTGATACCCGGGACAACCTTCCCATATGAGGGTTTTTGCACGTCAGCTACACTTGACGCCTCTGGTTTTGGTTGATCATCACTTGAGCGCAAACGTTTGCTAACCTGCTCATGGGGGGTTTGTTCTCCCACTTGAGAGAGATTCTGCGTACGCCGCTCAAGAATTTGTTGCAAGGCGTTTTTATAAGGTACCCCGCTCTTGAGGAGATGACTTAGTCGTTTCCTGGCTGAACCACCAAACTTTTTTTCAAGGTTCAGTTGTTGGATCAGGAGTTGGGGAGTTGAGAAGCTGTTGGAGTCGTAAGCTCGACATCCATCTTTCCTGTAGACTCGCTCCTAATCTAAATTTACAGGGAGGTCAGCTGGAGTCGTAAACTCGACATCCATCTCCTCTGTAGGCTCGCTCCTGAACTAAATTCACAGGGAGGTCAGTTGGAGTCGTAAACTCGATATCCATCTCCTCTGTAGACTCGCTTCTGATCTAAGTTTACGGGGAGGTTTTCAGCTTCTATAGTAGTATAGTACTTATTGCCGTCTAAAATATTAGCACGCCCTTGGGTTTGTTCGCCTTCCAAAAATGAGCCTTTCAATTATTGAAATGCCGTGAAGCAACTTAGTTTTTCCAAATCTTTTGAAATATTTAGACACTAAAAGGTTATTATTAAACATTTACTATCACTGCTATTTTTGAATCAGTTTCGCGCATGTGCAAGCGTTTTATCCTGCACAAAGACAAAGCTACATTGGTACTATTTGACATGCTTCGCAACATGAGCAAAATTTCTCATTTGTACTTAAAATTTCCGTATGTTTTCAGAGTTTTCCCGTTCTTAATTTCATGCCAAATAATCACGGCTTTTACGTTCGTTTGACACTCTCTAAGCTATATCCATCCAACAAAAAAGCATTCCAAACAATGATAGATGCGTGATCAAAGCATGATCACCACACACCCATTTGTATATATTAAGTAAAATAAATAAGCTTCCTTACGCTGCCCAATCAGATTCAACTGCAATCGACTGGAGGAATTCCTGGTGGTGTGTATGCCTGTGGTGTGTACATATACGGTATTTTGAAAAATTTTTGAAATGTCAAGTTCTGATACGGCTGAAGAAACTGCCAATTTGTGTCCCTACACTCCACCTTAAAAATGTTTCTATACCCAGTTGAAAAAACATAGGTCGTTATTCAGTATTAGAAATCACACGTTAAAAGGTAAGACCTCATTAATCCTTAGCTCGAACAAGTTTCGACTTCTGAGGGTTGTCGTTCGTAGGGGTGCGACAGCTGGTTAACGGAAAAGCAGATTTTAAACAGATTTTTTAGTGCGACTCTGTACAAGCAGCCTTGTCTGGGAGATCACGTGCACACGTGACTGAAGTTAGGTAATTATAAAGATAGTTGGCCACTTGAATGGAAATTATCTTATCATGTGCTACTCGCCATGGGTCCACATAACAAATTGTCAACCATCACCGGACGCCTGGCAGATGTGAAACATCAATAATGATATTTTGTGACCCATGTGATAAATGTTGGCTACTGAAATATTCAAAAAAAAATATGTAATTGAAGTATTCATGAACAAAATTGATGAGGCTTCAATATACTAGTAAACTCAAGATTCTCAGCTAGTTATTGCAATATAATACTAAAGATCTTGAATTATAAATATCAATAATAAATGTTTCAATATAAATTCCACCATCCCTCCACCACATATTTTATTTTCAATTATTTTTAAGAACACAGGTTATCTATACTAGTATAGTAGTATACTAGTAGTGAAAACAACTATATACACTCTAGGTATCGCACAGTAGGTTGCGCATAGCGACCCGTCGCCACGGCAGAAATCGGTTTTACGTGGGGATATAGATGTTTCACGTCAAAAAACAAAAGGAATCATATAACCATCTTCGATTATATACAAAATTTGGATATATTTTACCTCAATAATCTAAGTCAATTGATGATGGGGTCAAATTACCTTTTGGTTTGCTGGGACCCGCTCTTTGAAAGTCCGGTTCCATTCTGGGTTTTTTGGCGGGAGCACCCTCACTTGAATAGTGGACATCTGCTTCAGTAATGATTTTTTGACCTGCAAAAGCCAACCATATTTTAAACTCTTCCCACGCCCTTCATTAGATATTATGAAATGATGTATTATTGAGAATCATGATCAAACTTTTTTATTACTTTTAGTAATGCTGAATTTCCGTAATCTCCTGATGATGCTCACTTGACTAACGAAACGCAGCAAAGACTGTATTTTGTTTTGGTCTGGGGAAATTGCTTTTCATAGATCAAAAGTTCATTTTATTCAAGTTACTTATGATTCTGTTTCGACCTCAATCATTTTTTGTAGAAAAGATAAAAAAGAGTCGAGCAATGTATTCCTAGTTCAACCTAGCACCACTGATGAGAGTTACAGCACTATCTGGTTTTCGATTCATTTCTTACATTAATGAATCGAAAATATACAAATAATAAAAACAGTATTGGAATGAGATTAGAATTTGCAATCCAGAATTTCTCGATAAGGAACTGAAACATCTAGAAGAAAATTTCGAAAGAAATGGATAAACGAAACAGAATATAAAGCAATTGATTTATTTCAAATTACAGAACAAGGAAGGGCAACAAGATACAACAAATGACAGTTCACGGGTTCATGAAGGGCATTTCGGCTATTCATCCTGAAGGCTACAGAAAGAATGAGCCGTTCACTGGAAAAATTCGACAAAAAGGATTTTCTAACACCAAACACCACTGATGAGACATAAGCTGGGACAAAACAGCGCTGTCTGGTGTTGAAGCATTATTGTTTTGTTTTTGTGTTATGGTTTCAAATATTTCTGTTGTTACACAAAATACATTCGATTTGTAGTACCTGTTTCATCAGCTATTTCTGGGGATGATGAAGAACTGTGTTCAATTTGAGTTATGTGTTCCCCATCCTTTTGGCCGGATACTCTAGGAGATGAACTTTGATCTCCATTCTTTTCTGAACCGCATACTCTAGGTGATGAACTGAGATCAAGTTTAATTAGGCCTTCCCCATCCTTTTCTGGACCGGATACTCTAGGAGATGAACTAGTATCAATTTGGATCAGATCTTCCGCATTCTTTTCTGGACCGGATACTCTAGGAGATGAACTAGTATCAATTTGGCTCAGATCTTTCCCATCCTTTTCTGGACCGGATACTCTAGGAGATGAACTAGTATCAATTTGGATCAGGTCTTCCCCATCCTTTTCTGGGCCGGATACTCTAGAAGAAGGCCCATCTCTGTCAAATGGTTCATTTCGAGAAGGTTCGTCTGCAGTTGTTTTCTCTTCAGTTGTTTTCATAAACACGTTAGGTTCTCCTGTGGGATGAACAATAGTTTCAAAGAAATGATAGTTGGGTAATGGAAATACAAATTTCACACCAACAGACACACGGAAAATAAGACCTTAGGAATTATTTCAGGCCCTGTTTTTGTGTGAAATGTATTCGCAAGGACTAATTTCAGCTACTTTTTCTTACTCAAAATACATTCGTTTTGTAGTACCTGCTTTATCCTCGATTTCTGGGATTCTTGAAGGCGAGATGGCATCATCTTGAAAACGGCGTACTTCCTCCCCATCCTTTTCTGGATCGGATACTCTAGACAATTGCGCGTCACTGGCAGTAACTAACGGGAAAGAAAGTTCATCTGCAGTTAGCACGTTCTCTTCGTTTGTTTTCATAAAAACATCAGGTTTTCCTGTAGGATGAACAACAGAAAGAAGAAAAGGTTTTTTTTATAATAATAATGTTTATTTATACATATACAACAGCACAAGAAAGTAACATGTAGACAAAGCAATACAAACAAACATGAAGAAACCCACTAAAACCGAAATTGTGCGTGGGAATTCTTTAGTTGCGCAATGCATAACTGATGTGCAGAATTGATTTTACATTTAAACAAGGCGATGACAAAAATTTAATATTGAACTAAGACTAAAGGACACAAATGAATGATTCTTTTTTTAAAAAGAAAGGTACGTTATATATATATATATATATATATATA